TTAAACAAGCGGTTTGCACGCAAGAAGGGTTGGTAAGAGGCTTCTCTTGAGTGATCTCTACTCTGTCCCGTTACGATATATATGAAAACGAGCAACTAGCTCGAGGGCGAAATGCCCGAGCCTCAGTTCGTGATTTTATTGTCCACTAACTTCACGCGCTATGATTTGGTGCTCAAACAAGCTGCCAGTACAACAACGGAAGTGTGCTTTGTTTGAACCACCAGCTTTATACGATAATCTGCACAAGGGTACATATGTACCCTTTTGACTGCTTCATGCCCCTCAAAGTGACGGGGCAAAATTGATGGGCCGCATATGGACTATGATCTGTTTTGAAATTCTTGTATCGAGATTTGACTATAGGAGGACTGTAATCTGCCGAGAACGGGAGTTCCTTCGATTCCGGTGTGGAGAGACAAAGTCCTTGCTGGTTCGAGGACAGTCGCCATGGCGGGGATGAATGGGCGGTTTGGCTTTACGTATACCCGGTTGGATGAATTTGCGTGTGTTTCTTTTACTCGTTCTGATCTAAACTCCTTGGATGGTTTCTTTGTTGTTTTGGCCCAAAGTCGCCTGTTATGTCAAAATCCCCCTATTTCATGTACATCTAGCAGTTGTTAAATTCATGACCCACCGCTTCAGGGAAGTGTATAATCTAATGCCATACTATCAATCACGCTGATTCAAATCCTATCTTTTCGCGCACCATGTTCTCGATTAACTTAACAAGGATCCAGATGAACTACACAAAACTTTTGTATGCACCGAAGGCGCTTTTCAGATCCAGCATTGACTTGGCTATTATCATAATGCAGACTCAAGCACGTAGAAAGAAAATGTGTTGACACACAACCAATCATGGTTTGAGTTCGTTGCCATGAAACCCTAACCCGAGGTAGGTATGGTTATGCTTGCGTGCAGTATGGCAAGGTATCACGTAGACAAATTTTCTAGTCTAGCTTTGAGAGAATAGACCTTTGCTTGGTCTATCTATAAATGTTATATGTAGCAAGATCAAAGTGCATACTCCATCGAGTTAGGGTGAAATAAACTAACAAATTATCTGCCATTCTCATTCCTTCGTTATGGCATTGAGGGTCACGTATTTCATCGTCAACGGAAGACATAATAAGCAAGTGAAAACCCAAGACAGTATATACCTCTTCCCCTAGCAATCGTGTGAGGGTCACCCTCACACCTATTAAACTGACAACCCCCCCAAATTACGTCCTAATCAGGTCAACCTCATATCATGGTAACAAACAAGACGGCTCCCGCCGCTATGGCGGCTTTCATCCCATTGCTTGATTCTAGATTCGACCCTGTAGACTAGTCTGTCTTTTCGGACTTGTCTGCCGTGTCCGCCTTGTCTGTCTCTTGTGTTGTGCGATCTGGGACGCCATCCTTCCCTGGTTTGATCTCCATCATCTCATCAGACGCTTTCTCCCAGCGTCTTTGGGCCAGAGAGACTTCGTCATTCCCCATGTCAAAGACTGTGTATACCAGCTTGAGGAAATTGGCTCCAAATATGGCACCGCCAAGCTCCTTACTACGTTCAGGTTCAATCGTCAAAAAGCTAAGGTAGCAGTAACCTTCCTCACACTGTTTGGTGTCTGTGGCGGAGGGAGCCTCGGCTATGAACGGGTCGAGGGGGGAGTTGAACGTTACGTCGCCAAAATGGAATGTTAGCAATTTGTTCTCGGGTGGCTTGTCGCAAGGAAACATCGGCTGGCCACTGTCATAAAACTCTGTGACGTTAAGTTGGGAAAACAGGTCTTGCGTGATCGCTTTCGGGAAACCGATGAAGTCAGTCGCGGAAGAAAAGACAGACCCCTGTAGGAAAAGAATCTGGTGATATGGACTTCGTGGTGGAATCTATCCCCATAGACAGTCCAATAAGATTGACACGGAATAGCTTGTTGAGGTCTGGAGGTGATATGACTGGCAACATATGGAGCTTATCGACATACTTAGCCTTGTTCACGCCACCGAAGAGGATAGTACCGGGTACATTGGTCTGATCATGGTTCTCCTCCATTCACACGCTGAAAGCAGGGGATTGGATAGCTTTCGCATCGACCAATGCCTGGGTAACAGAGATGAATTCTGAGTTGCCATTGTTGTATCCTAGACCGAGTGTATCTATTCATATTTTAGTTCGGCCGTCGCATGAACCGAGCCCATGTATATGGGTATAGTTTGATGGAAAGCATCGTCACAGGATAACTTACCACCTATAGCGGCTTTCTCACGTAAAGTAGCAAATTTCATGGCTTCCAATTTCGCATCCCCAACGATCATCGTGTCTGACATTATATCAATATTTCCCACGTCATCCTGGCCGAACCCGTCAACAGTGGCATTTTTCTTTACTGATCGGCTGCTAGTTGAAGTGCTCGCATTATACCCATCAAAAATTCCCTTTTCTATATGCTTTGCTAACTCTTCGTTATCCACCACCCAGCTGCTGTCATCAAGAGTCGAGAACTGGGCTTTCAGTTTCTTTCGAGGACTTCCGACGGATATATTAGCGTAGAAGAAGTCATTCTAAAGTCGTAATGGTCAAAAAGAACGAGTTTCTGTGTGTTCAATGAAAGTGAGGCAATATACTGCACATACTCGGTAGAACTCTTAACTTAACAGTATTATCCCTCTTCCCACGACGATCATGATGATGGTGAGCACCTGCGAACCGTCCACCCTCGAAGGGCACCTCTAGCACGGAAGGCACATCTTTCTTCTCCAGTGTCAGGGCATTGGTATATTTAAGCAGCCCCTAGGGCCAGGCACCAAAACTTAATCATGTCGATCAATCTCAGCATGCAGTTCCGGTAAACGTTGCGCACAAATCGGCAGTGGGCTTGACAAGCCTTTTATCCTTTGAAGTTGGATGAGGGGTAATATTATTGAAAACAAGACCAGCTTTGATCTAAATAGTTAAACTGACTTAGATATCTTTTGCTTTTGTTCCATTGGGCACCATAGTGCATCGTCTGCTCGGCGCAATTCCAAACAGACCCTCAACCTGCCATTGGGTTGAAGGCCATGTATATCTCTTTGTGGAAATGTCACCATGAGGGGGAATAACTAACCATATACGTCTTTAGAAGAGTGATATCCAGCCATACCGCATTCATTATCCCCATCAATGGCAAGGCCGGGGCACTAGGCTGCCATCAAAAGCTGAAACCGACGCAAAGAAGTTACTGAAACCTAATTACATCAGTATGCTGCAGGAAGACTCCATTGGCTCAATAGTCTTCCCAAGCAGTAAGCCAAGATAGAGGAAAGGAAAAGCGGAAGTAGGAGGTCAGAGTCTAATGATGGCGTCTGCTCGGGGGAAGTCATGCGGATGGAGCACGTGAATTAGTATAGTAGTTCTAATATACAATCGGAAACATTAATGCTCCAAGTTTGAATATCCAGCATCAGATAATATACAGTTGAGCTTGTAATATCAGATAAGAAACGTCCAAAAGCTAGGGAAAACCAGCTCCTCCTCGAAGATGCGACGGACCTGGGCTAGAACGAAGCGCTCAACCTTGCCGACATTCTTCAGAACTTGCTTCCCGTCTTCTTTCCGACCAATCTCACTTTCAACCCGAATTTCTTGCAATAAGCCTCCCTGGCGCTTCGGGGAAGCGGTCGGATCTGCACTAGACCATGGGCGATCGTCCTGGCCTCTCGCTTCTTGCTGGTCAGACCCGATCAGTGCATCCGCATCTTCCGCAGACAAAAAGCAGAAATGAACTCGTTTGCGGATGTATGCAATGACTGCAACCCCGTCGAATGTAATTCCCGTGACGTTGAGTTTCAGCGGCAACCCGACAAAACTAGGCATGGGATAGTCAAGAAGAATCTCCGCGGTTAATGATAATCGCACATCCCCAGCATATTTAGCGTGGCAAAGAACCTGGAAATCTTCAGGTCGGCGTTCGCGCATGCGAGGGGGCAGCCGGAGAGGATGCCCTGAAGCCATAGGATCCTCTAGATGTTCATCCTCGGCGAGTGGTCTGTGTTCCTTTCCCGTTGTAGCATCACCGCTGGGCTGATTGGACACGGACGGATGAGAAGGAAGCGTGCTAGAGGTCGAAGGGCGTGAGGTAGGATTGCTAGTGTCGATATCAGCTTCCATGCGAGACGGATGCACCGCAGCCGTGCCGGAGATGGATGGATGGCCCCTGCTGCTTGCGCCCATTCCAGGGTCGGTCCAACCGTTTGCGAACGGTGTTCCACCTGCGACCGCGGCAAGGGGAGTTTGTGTCCCCGACAATCCACCAAGGGACATAAGGTGGTACCCTAACGTAGACGTTCCGCCAGGGATGCCTGGAGTGCCCGCACGAGGAAGGAAGTGGGGGTTCAGGTGTTCCATTGGTGACCGCAAAGCCGATGAGTGAAAGGCTTCATCGAACGGGTCTCGTAATGGGCGATTCATTGCCATTTCCTCGTGAAATGGGGGTTCGTTGAGTTCCCGGTGCCACTGGGTGCCATGCCCGGAGACCAGCTCCTCAGACACATCGGACGTTTCGTCATCTTCATCCTCCTCGTAGAAGTCGGTAAATGGCTCACAGATATCTTTCACCTCAAGATCAGGCGGTATAGTCCCGAAGTCGAACGAGTGAACTTGAACTGATCGGATAAAACGTGGGAGGGCCACCTGCTGGAACTTTTCATGGATGAAGGAGCGGATTCGCTCGGCCAGAGCCTCACCGTCCGGCCCAGAGGTGGCTGTCCTCCAGTCAACTTCGATTGACATTACATGTGCAGCAGACAATTATTCGGCGCGAAGTGGGCAAAAGAGGGGTAGGTATATGAAAGCGAACAATCGCTTGGACGAGAGAGGACCGGGGCTGGTGGTAAAATTGCGCCGCAATGCGAGACTCCACAGTGATTAATTTAGGCGCAGTCGCCGCGGACCAACTCGCGTCCCGCGCCAATCACGTGATGCCGCAGTAACCTCATAGACGATATTGTAAATGCAGCAATGGACGTCTTCCCATGGCGTTTCCCGGCCACAATCACAAAGGACAAATGATCAAGGATATCCTAGGCGCCTCTTAGGGGTCTCAGAATCTTTGGTAAGCTCCCTGGAGGGCTTTTACGATGCACGGCGGCTTTCACACCGCTTTAGGTTTACTTGACCCAGTACTTTGGTTCACCAGTGCAGCCGACGCCATTTCGGGGCATATTAGAGGATGGCACAATCTCTGCGGCGCCGTATGGTGGGAGCCCTGGAACAGCGTATTTGCCGGGCACAAGGGCCTACAACAAGCCTGCTCTAGCCCCTCCCCCTCTTCCCTGGCTTTGGACTCCTCGAACCTATCCATCGGTTCCACTTTCACATCCGATTAGTACCCAACATTCAAGATTTTAACCACTATCATTGGTGATTTTTCACTCGTGAATCACACTGGCTCAGTCCCCCTAGGACTCTATTGACCAGGGGAGTCTCCCTATGATTGACTTTCTAGCCTGCATCGTGGTGTCTGATTGTTCGCCTGCGGCAAGGTCTTTTCCCTCTCAAGTGGGCACGTCGTACCGCAGTCTCCTCATCTTGCTTTTCTTTCAAGAGAAGGCGATAGTCCTTCTTGGCGCAGAGGCGAAACGCCACGTATGTATGTACTGCTTCTTGCGGTGGGCTGGCAACAAGGGCCAACGCTACCGCATCGGGTCCGCAGAACACAACGCAGTCCTTTGTGCGTACCTTGGAAGGAAGAATATCCCGCCCCTCAATCCGCCGCAGACCAGTTCTCCGGCTTCAACATCTGTCTTATAATTCAAAGTTCTTATGGGTTCTCTAACTGCGGGATTTGACCCATCACTTGCGCATCACTTCCCAAAGACAGTTTAACACATGATCCTCCAGAACCTAATATACGCACACACACATCACGCTCACTGACTCGGTTTACCTAAGATTTCGTTGGCTCTCAATCAATCCGGATCGCCACTGGATAACAAGCATCTGTGCCTCGTTTCATTATCTGATTCGACGAGCCCGCAATCAGATGATGAGAGACGTATGCGGTGCTAATGCAGCCGCTGACATACGTTGCTAATCATAGTTGCCAAGAGTGGACTCTCAAGAAGAAAGAATTTTCTTTTCTGAAAGAAAAGCTCTTGGGGTTTGTAATTGCTCCGTAGAAGCGGTTGGACCACCTCACTCGCAAATGATGACAACCGGCAGAAGGTGAGTAATATGCATCGGGCGCCCATTGTTCATACCTCGGATAGCCTCCTTTTCGTTCTTGTCGTTTAACGCACTGTGCGCAGCGATGAACAATGAGACTGGGAAAGTCCGCCGTTTCATGATATGCATCCGGGACTCATAAGCTTAATCTTCCACATGAAATGCTCAGCAGCTGAAGTTAGCGATAGATCTGGGAACACGTAGTGAGGCATTTCTCCTGTTATACATTATACGGATCTGGGATTTGCCTCGGTCATCTCCGTGACTGCGGTAGGATTCTTGTAGAGACTTTGAAGCTATAGAGCCTCGGAGATATTTTAGTTGAAGGCTATTCCTTCAAAGTCTCTTTAGTAGGATTGATCTTCCAACGCCCGACGGGTAAAAATCCTTCAGGAAGATGGGGCCATAGAATGGATCCATCGTATCTACAGGTCGATCCTTGTGACTTCATTGTGTAACTCCCTGAATACATAGGAGTGACCAGAAAACACTGTCGGAGGAGTCCAACACCTTACTTGTAGCGTATCCTCCTTGTCTTAACTCATGAAAAGAATATAAGATCAGATATGTAGGTTTCAGCTGAACAACTTCGACATACAGCGCAGCAAAAATGCCTTAGTAGAGACGACACAGCAAAGGATAACAACTAAGCGACAATGTGGCTTTAATAAGAAAGCTTTGCCCCTGTAGTAAGTTCGCAGGGCACATCGCAGAAACGAAACAACAGGAGGATACGGACAGGCGCTTGCAACCAGTAGTAACCACAAAACAGAACAATGCGTGCGCTATGAGAGAAAAGCCGAGCCGGGACATTCATGGTATTGACAGACGGCAAATAGACAAAAAAAAAACCCTTTTTTTTTTTTTTCCTTTTTCTCTTTTTCTTAGTTCCCGATTAAGCTCCCGTGGTCTCCAAAATAGATCGCCTGAAAGCATCGAAGTGTTTCAAAAATACAAAATTCGAGGAGGAACGCGAGTGTCGTAACACCGTAGTATCGTCAAAGGCTGAGCTCGACGTGCTTCTGGAAGCACATATTTGAAAGACGGTGGTTGAGGTCCCACAATCCCCTCGGCCTTCTGGAATATGTTAATGAGGGCTTTTCGAAACGATCGCCACAGTTTGGGGTCCCTTACCAGTTACTTAAATCCCTAGCCACCATGAGCAGGGCAGTTGTAGCCCTCACGGCGCCGGACTTGCTGTCTCACGCCAGTGCAGGATGTTCCTCGCTTTGCGCAGTAGACAACATCCCCTTCCGGGTGGGTACAGCCGCAGTCGTACTTGTAGAAGTATTGCGAGCACATTTTGAAGATTTGAGGTTGATGGAGCTGAACAGGGTGAGTTTAATGAGAGATATAGACAGTCAAGCCGACTCGGTCAAGCAACTTGTAGAGTTCAGAGAAGACGAAAGATGTCGAGCTCAGCGATCTTGCTTTGAGGGTAATCTGAGAGATAGAACTGCTGTGATGTTGTTCTGATAGTTCGACGGATTGTGAGGACCTTAAATAAAATTGCTTGGTCTTGCTTCTGTACCAAAATGATAGAGAATGACTGCGGACAGCTGTGCCGCAATAGCACCATTTACAAGAAATAACAAAAAAGGTACCAAAGGAGGCTTAGAATAAAAAAAATCATAATAATAGAATAAAAACTGATCTTTAAAAAAATAAAATAAAAAAGCCGGGGCAGAAGAATGAAAGTAAGAACAAGGTTAGTCAAGGATCTCAAGTACGGATACAGCATCTTCTCTTTTCCTTTTTCCTTTTTCTTTCTTTTTTTTCTTTTATTTTCTTTTTTTTTTTTTGTTCTTCTTCTCTTTTGCGCCCCCATCCACAAAGGAACATTTAGAGAATTGCGCCAGAGAAGTTGGTGACTCGATCTACATCACATCCAGGAGAAACGGTTTCAACGAATGAATCAAATGGTAAATTGTGCTTCCACAGAACTACTGCACGGAGTTTCCCCAACACCAAACAAGATTGGCGGCTATGCGAATAGTCTGTGAAGGTGGTGTCCACCTGGAGTTGGAATAAGATAGTTCTTACTAGAGTGATCCCTAGTTGTGATGGCCAGAATGTCAGCGAAACTTCAGTTGTAGCCCTGTCAGGGGCTTCAATAGACTTCCGCAGATGCATCATGAGAAACCTTGACATCATCTTCAGGACAAGGCCCATGCACCAGGCAGGGAAGGGCCGGTCACATATGCAAATGAAAAAAGCCAACAATTGCGTTATCAAATCAGTTCTCGCAGCCAGCCAACAGTGCTCGCACATTTTAGGGTCATGCCGCAACCAGGACACTGTTCCTTAACGGGCATCTGATGAATGTCACGCAGTAGTTTACCTAGATGTATCACTAGGCTTATCACATTAATCTCTTTATCATGTGTGCCTCAAGGCCCCAGTTGGTGGAGGGAGGGGCAAGGATATCTCCCCACGGCCCAATCTGACCGGCCCCGATATCAAAGTCAGTAGTCATCGCCAGTCATGTCTCCCACCCTGCGAGCCGTGTGCCTGGCACTATCCCGAGGGTCACTGCGGTAATTCTTGACACATGGGCCACCTGCTCCAGTCAGAGGTGCCACAGTTCCTGGGCATATACCTATCTGCCAACGACATCAACAAAGGACGAGCACCTATAAGGCTCCGCTGAGGCATATTGGCGAAACCGGGGTCAAGGCTCGCAGACTAGAGGGAAGAATCTGCAAGAACTGCACAGCCATCACAGGAACGTTGGTCTTGGTTCCTTGGACTGACCAATACCTGGGGCAGAGAAGCTAAACGCAGTTGGTGATATCTGCAAGACATGAGTGAACTCTTTCCCACCCTCGGAGGCCGGAGGGGGGATCGCACGATAGCACAACGCCCTCGGAATTCGGATCAAGTGAGATTATGCGGTTCCTGCCTTATGACGGCCCCATTTGATGCCATGTTGGTGTGATAATGGATGGCAAAGGACTTCCACTGCCGGCTAGTCTAGCGTTCGGCAGTGCAAGACAACAAATCTCCGCCTATCGATTTCTCGTGTGCTTCATGATCACCTAGGCTGGAAAGCTCGGGGTCAACTCTAATTGAGTGACAGTCGAATTCAGAGCGACCGTACCGCATTGCGGCGCTCATCCATTGGGGGGAAAGATAAACATCCCATGGTCTACCGCAGTCACATTTGGCCCTCTGAGCCGCTGAGCATCCGCGCCACATGGCGGACGGTTGAGCGATACGGCGCGGAGACAGGGGGCGCTAAATCTGCGACAATCAGCACCTCAAACGGAGAGGCACGGCCTCGATTTAGCCGCCGTTGGCTTTTGTGCCAGAACATAGTGGATAATAAGATGTTATTTGGCCCCGAGTGTTTGGGGTTTATCTTGCAGCAACTGGGGGTTTGGAGCACGTGATGGTGTTGCGCTGCGATTTGAGAGCCGCTTGGTTCACTGGGGCTCTTTTTTCTCTTTTCTCTCTTTTTTCTTTTCTTTTTTTGTCTTATATGCTACTAGTTACTCTCCCAATTTCATGATCAAAGGTTCTTTAAAAAATGTTTTTGATTTCTTGCAGATTCAACGGACGTTGGGGAAAATTGTCTTCTCCCGGAATATCCAAAGGTCTTGAAGCACGTATCGCATACTACCTAGGTCCTACAATGGACTCAGATGGACGGAGGAAATGCGAGCTCAGCTTGTGCCTTCTACTATACTGAATCATTCCTACTGACATCATTTTGGAAGAGGACCGTATGTACATTTACAGCCAACAAAACAAAACAAACAGACCCCCAGCTTTGGTTTCTCCGGCTGAAACTCGTCCCCCTTCTCCTTGCTTAGGTAAGTTAATTTAACTAGTTAACTAAGTTAACTAACTATCCCTTACCGTTCGCATGTCTTCTAGAAAGCGTCAGGAAAAAAGTGTTATTTCAAACATGCTGCCAAGCGGCCGAGACTCATTAGTTGGGTCATGTGCCCTGAATAGTCTCTTGATAAGGAATGTGGGAGGCAAACCCCAGAGAAACATTCTATACACCGTCGTCCCTTCTGGGTATGCGGAGTGACCCTTCAGCCTATCGATTACCGATAGCAATCCAATAGTTCCGGCACGTTTCTTGGCTTCGCTTCCTGGTTGCTGATCACCCGAGGCTGATTTTTCGGGTCGTATCGGCCCAGATGCTTGTACAAGGGACAACACCTCAGCTTGCACAACGGACGGCCAGCTTCGGCTTGGCAGGTTACTGGGGATTTCTCCCCCCCCCCCCGGATACTTGAGGAAGCTATGCACATATTGGCGACTACTCACCGGATCTTACCTGAGCCAAGAGTCTCGAAGGAAGGAGAGATCTTCCAACAATGACGTCCTCTACCCCGCTGAGACATGAAAGAATGTTCGAAACATGTGAATTACAGCGTGTCCCGGTCCACCTCGGGGAAGCAGATTGGGATGTTCGACCTCTCTAATCTGGGACTCTCCACTATCTCTGCAGGTGGGATGGACACAGATCGACGTCCCTCCCGGTATTATCCATGAACCTTGTCGACCCCTCTTCCCTCTTGAGTATCTTGGCTGTTTCCCTCTCATGTATAAATAGGTAGCCGAGTCCAACCGAGAAATCTCTCCAGATCAATCTCAATCCTCTTCTTCTCCTTCAGTCAAAAGCTCTTTTAGTGTTTTTTTTTTCAAAGACTTCCAAAGCCATCTACACTTCCACTTTATCTCTTTCCCAGTCCCAGAAGACAAACCAGATACCGATTCACCTTTGAAGATGTACACCAACACTCCTACCCACAAGTTCCTCGTTCTCTCTCCCATCTACTCCGGTCCCATGAATGACCAAGTTGAGAGCAAGGAGCCAACCCGTGAACGCTCCAGCAGCCAGTCTTCCACAACCTCCACCGGATCACAGCTGAGGGGTGCCTTCTCCCCTCTCCCCGGTGGCTTCCTCTACCTGGGACACGAGCAAGAGAGAAACTAAACTCTGACGCCACATAAGCTTGCGCACGCCATCCCACTTCACCAATCGCGCTGGACACGATACATCTGCAAGCGCCTCAGCCCAAATCCACCCTGCACCGGACGAAGGGAAGGAGCACTAGCGGTTTCATTTCTTTATTGTTTTCAAACATCGGTTTTTTTTACGAGATGGTCTCTTATCTCTTTGAATGATTTTTTTCTGTTTCGGTGTTTACCTCCTCACCATATCAATGATACCACACTGCCAGGGAAAAGGGGGGGATGGAGTGAAGAATGAAGTGAATGTTTGCCAAGGAGATGTTGATACTTGCCAAGCCCTGTGCAGTAAATTTGAAAATCAATAGGCTGCCCTATGTTGTTCCACAGCCAAGCAATGATAGATTCAAGATCGACTTCGTCTATTAACCTGCCAAGATCCCTTGTTTGTATCACGTATACTTCTTAAAAGTAAAGAAAGAAAGGAAGAAAGGAAAAAAAAAAAAAAAAAAAACCAAAACGGACGAAGCTATCTTCCCAGGGTCCTCGTTCTCCGTAACCCCAACTAGGCAAAAGCCCGCCGCGGAGTAACTCGAAGAGGGAAAAATCACCAGCGCTATCTCAAGCTTACTGTATGTAGCTTACTGAATTTACCAATCAACCCGACCGGATCATCAGATCCTCATCTTCCAGGAGACACGCACCACCTATTAATAATTGATAAGTTAATTACGATAACCTAAAATTCTAGATTGTCGCCGTTCCCGCGGAAAGACTTACCCCGCCAAGTTAAAATACCCACACTCGCATTCCTTAAATCGGCGAGGGAAGAAAAAGAAAAGGAGAGAAAGACAAAAAAAAATTTTTTTTAAAAAAAAAAAAAAAAAAAAAAAACCCAAAAAAAGCAAAACAATCAACCGAAAATTGCATCATCGTCATTATCACTGATAAGCCGAAGCCAACCTGGAGGTGGGGAGGGTGTGTGGGATGGGATCGACAACCTTCCAGACTCCGTTCTTCCATGGAGGGTTGTCGGTGTAACCCAACCTCCCCTCGAAATAACTATGCAAGAATGCTTGATTCGTTATCTTTTACTTTTCTTGGCTGTTATGTGTATGTACACCCTTACTGCACAAGTTGGGTGGCACATTATTCTCTACCGAGTGCATACGTACGTCCGTGGGCATGCTGTGCTCATCGGTTAGCGCAGATCAGATGTATCATACTTAGGGTTCGTACTTGCATGTTTGCCAAGAAGGGTCTGGAGGTCATGGGATTGGGGCTGAGTAGTACCCATAAAATAGTTATATACTGCAGGATAACATCATAGTTTATTTTTCTTTTTTCCATTTGTGTATCTCATCTTTTACTTACTTCTACTCCTCCGACTTATGCTAAAAAGTTTTAAAAAATTGGTTAGATTTAGGGTATCAGATGCTCGAGGATGGTCTCTTCTTAGAGCCTCAGCAGCTCCATAGACTCAATGGTATACAATGATATCACGTCTACCTTCTCTCCAGCCACGCCAAACCAGTAGCTGTTAGACAACCTAGAAAAGACCCACTACAGTCCTGGCACTGAGAAAGCTAATACATCTTACAAATCCACCCACTTAAGGCGGTCTTCTTCACTCCAGATACTAGGATTAGCAAGGGATTGAACACTATAATAAGAAGTACAAAGGTCATTCTGAAACGCTTAGCTGGGTCATAAGCCAGGGGCTACTGCCGGAAAGCTATATTGACTAAATCTCAATATCTTCTTTAGACCTTAAGCCCTGTTGCTTATTATCAGCCCCGATTGTTGGGTGAGCATAACCGTCGGGGGTATGTATTCCCTACTCATCTTGACAGTCGATATGCAGGCATAGAAAATATATGTATATTCGTCTGAATGTAGCATGCACCAGTAGCTACCACAGGCATGGTTGTTGAGTAGTGCAGGACCGTGGATGAACATATTAGTAAGACATTCAGTTGGATATTCGCATAGCTGAGCACCACTGTTCAAAAATATATATTTAGCTATTATAATACTTTTGGTTGAATCACATATACTCTCCTTCGATATCACCTAATCTAAGTGCGTCCCATAACTATACCGAAGAAGCTTTTTCATAATGAATTATCTTTGGTGAGCTTATATCACTTCTAGGTGGCTCGATAAAGCTCCTTAGATGAAACACTGCTCCTCCCCATCTAGTCATCAAACCCTCCTGAGCCTCACTGAACCAGAACCTCACACTGTTAGTTAGATCAAAGCATGGACATGGTTTCTTTACTAATAAGATCACCCCAAGAACTTATCCAGATAAATTGAGGATTCAATAAGCTTAGGTGCAGAAGACTCAAGATAACAAGAACCCCATAGATCGCCCAAACCCGCCTGTCTAATATCGAAGAATATATGACCACAATCAGATACTACCACCCCAAATATACCTTGCTCTTACCCCAACAGTATATAGAACAAGTCTAACCACCAAGCACAATACACACTCGGTTGCACAGATACAATATACACCCCAAAGCTAACAATCAACGCTTAAATCTACAAATATCAGCAAATGGCCCGAACCTTCAAGACCCCTGTCAATGTGAAGACCCTCTTCGCCGAGATTTTGGCTGACATCTTTCCCCTACGGCCGAGTCCAACAATGGAATTATAAATGAGCCTGAAATAACCCATGTGGTATCTATTGTGAAAGATTGTTATACCAAAACATTGGACCCAACGTTGGTTATACATGTTGTTTCCCGTTAGTCTTGTGACTTCATTTGTTTGCATGGGGCCAAAACACATGCTCCGCCCCGTTCGCCTCGGCGCTTAGGGTTTGTACAGTTACTATAGACGCCGTTGTGATATCAGTCAACGGGTGTATTATTACTTGAGAATCTATTCATAGATCTCCGAGACAGTGTTAGGCAGTGTAGACGTCCTGATAGAATTCACAAAATCTTCCAGTTAATGTTACTGTACTAAAAGTAAACATGCGGGGATTTGCCATATTAGAGAAGCAGATCAGCATAAGCCCCGGCTCAATGCATATGCTCAACCATAAAAGTAGTCACCGCTATCAAACAAAAAAAAAAAAAAAAAAGGTACATCTAGGGTGGGGATGGAGGAACTGGGGGATACGATCATGAATCGCACACATAAGGTCTCTAATGAATAGTAAACATATTAAATTACCCTCAAATAGTCCTGCTCAGCTAAGATGTCCGCCGTGTCATATCAAAACCCCTCTCTCAGGAGGACCGTGACTTGGTAACAGTGAAGACAAGAAGTAAAAAGAAAAGCTCCTCAAATGGAAAGAAAAATGGACGGGATCAATTTACAGTCAGGGCTATAATAACAGGGAAAAAAAAACAAAATTTGAACAAAGGAACTAAAAAGATTTATTCTGACAAAGGAAAAATAAAATAAATAAAATAAAAAGGCTAAACATGGATATGTATGCGGGAACAAAAGGTTGCTGGTACAAGAGAGGACAAACCGATAGCTGCAACAGAAGGGGACGAAAGCTGCTGGGTATCATGGGGTATCCAAATAGCCTCTCTGCTCTTTTATTGTTGGGAATCTAAGAGCCTGGTCGACTCAAATCATCCTTCCAAGTGTGATGTTTGAATCGAGATGGGCCTTTATCCATCTTGCGTGCGGAAGCCCTAAAGTCCTGTATGGACGACACGGCGTCTCGGCAACGGGTGGGATGTGTCAAAAGTTGTTGGACCTCTTCACAAATTCAAGTCCCGGAATACAGGGGTGAAGCCAACAACTAGAATAGCCTGTTTGTCTTGATTGGTGTTGCATGGGCACACCAAGATGTCGACATGTTAACCTGTCGGGTTGGTCGAAGAGAAATAAAGAAATAAACAAAGAAGATCTTAATCTACCGGTCATCGCCAGCCCTCGACTTCGCTCGTCGACGGAAGAAATCCATCACTTTCCTGGCTGCACCAGAGCTGCCAGAGTGATGCGATGAATCGCGCTCGTACTCATAGGCATCGGCAAATTTCCGATGATTTTTCTGTAGGACACTGGCCCCTCTTGTAGGTCGGGCAACTGACGTAGATTGCCGAGGCGCGCTGTCATATGGACCATTGTATTCTTCGTAGTAGTTCGGTGTCGAGTGATTGGCGTATTGGTTCCGATAATAGTGATCATTGTCGTTCTGGTACACCTGCTCAGCCGAGTAGGACGTTGGCTGATACGTCGCAGATTGGGTTCCATGCAACACCGCAAACTGCTCATCAATACGGGCCTGGTAGTTAATGGGCTCATCTTGGACGAAAACCTCATCTGCCGGTGCCCCTTCTGGCATGGCTCCTATTGCATCTTGTGTCCCGTGGCTGGTCGCACGTGCGCGGGGTCGTAGTTCCCCGGTTGATGGTTTTGGCTGTGCCCGATTATCCGTAGAGCGATCAGCTTGTGACTCTTCATCGGGCGTTTGAGATCTACTCGAAGAAAGACCCTTGAGAGAGAATGATGCCGGCAAGAGGGAGAATCTACGAGGCCGACTCTCGCTACCTGTTTCGCTCGTCTTCCGGTTTGATCCATATTGCATGGACCGCCGTGAATCCATAGACATCCGGGGCATATCACCACCATAAGGGTCTCTCATACTGGTAGGAGGATAACGTTTGCCGCTTTTTTGACGAGCATTTGCCTGCCCGCCACGTCCTCCAAAAATGGACCCAGACCGCCCAAACAATTTCTCGCCAATCCCTGAGACAGTATTTGATCTCTTGTGGCCTTTCGGGGGTTCTTGTCGGGGGGTTGTATTGAACTTTGCAGGAAGAGCCTGGGTGCTCGGACGGCCAATCGACACCGCTGCCTGTTGGGAGGGATCCTGGGGGATGGGGTTCGAGATGACATATTGTTTGCTCTTCGGTTGTGCCAGCCGACCATGGGCATTGGTTGCTGCCACAGTGGGAGCTACGGGCTGCCCGTAGGATCCTCGCGATGGCAAACGACCAGTATTGAATGAAGACATGGATGCACCCGTGGTAGGCCGCATAGAATGCGGCTGGGGCATTGTCCCCGCTCCCGTGAGCGCCGTCGAGTCCGAAGTTGAGCGAGGCAAATGCCCAGATGGCGGGCGCTGTGCCTTTGAGTCTCCAGCCTGTGCGCTCGGCGCCATAGGCGGGTCTTGCGGTACGGCACTGGTAGGCGAGACAGTCTCGGCATCTCGGCTATTTGACCTTGCTCGAGTGGGCGCATGCTCAGCTGTTTCAACAGCACTCGATGGGCCCGCCGTGGCTGATGCTATGCCCTCCCCTCTCGTAGTCTGAGACGAAGGAGCAACATATTCGACCTGGACGGTCCTTCGTTTCGTGTCCCGGGGAGTCTTTGAGCTTTCTGCAGGTTGTTCCTGTGAGATATTGCCAGCGTGATGAACAAGACCACCCAGAGCGGGAGCTGTGCTTTGGTAGGTTTTGGGAGGCTCTCTAACCGACGCACTGCGTCCGAGGGATGGGGCCTCTTTAGGTTGTTCTGTTCGAAACAACGAGTTAGCAGGTAAACAGTGTACACGTCCCGAGAGCGCCGTACCATGAGAAACAGTTGTAGTAGCAATATCAGCAACCTTGGTAGTACTGCTAGTTATGTGTGACACAATATGCGAGTACTCGTTAAGCCAGCTATGCCGTGCGACCTCGAACAAATCCGCTCGTTTCCGCGGATCTGGGACCAATATCCGTCTCAAGAGATCACGAGCATGTGGAGTCACGTACTCAGGGAACGTGAGAGGCGTAGTGACGATATACTTATAGAGAAGGTTGATATTATCACCGTCCGGGTTCGCGGGGTCATCATCGAATGGCAAATAACCGGCAAGCATCGCATACTTAGCAGGCGGACATGTTAGCTTCTTCAACGCGTAGGGTGGATTACAAACAAAGGGGAAAAATTGCAATCGGCTCAGGTCCTTACCAAGATGACACCGCAGCTCCAAACGTCCACTTTACGTCCGGTATAAAGCGAATCGCTAACAACAAGCTCTGGTGCAGCGTAACAGGGACTTCCACAGCTGGTTTGCATCAAATCACCACGCCTTAAGCCCTTGGCATTGGGCTTGTCAAGTCGCATCCTCTTTACAAACTCCTTGTTCGTAAGATTATATTCGATCTCCTCGCCTAGCTCATCCACCGGATCGAAGGTGTTCGCGAAACCGAAGTCTGTGATGATGATGTTACGGTTTCGGTCCAGCAGCAAGTTTTCCAGCTTTAAATCTCGATGAACAATGCCCTTCTTGTGGAGGTAACCGACACCAGATACCAACTGCGCAAAGAGACGTCGAGCAGCATTGTCTTTGAGATACCGGTTATTCAAGATATGATCGAAAAGTTCGCCCCCGGACGCATATTCCATGATGATACCGATATGCTTATCGGTCTCTACCATTTCATGTAATCGGACGATGTTGGGATGGGAAAGATCGCGCAAGATCGAAATTTCCCGGTAGATCTTGGGCAGCCGGCTGGGGTTCGATCCGAGAGACTCCCTCCGGATCAGCTTGATAGCCACTTGGATGCTGCCATCCCTCTTCCACCCCAGTTTCACTTTCCCGAATTCACCCTCTCCCAGCGTTTGCCCCAAAATGTACTGACCGAATGTTGTCTCCTTCCGCTTGATCGAATTCTCGCTGTAATCATGCCGACTCCGCAGCCCGCCGCGACCTCCATCATCCACGCCGTCACTACCCACCAAGCCCAGCCCAGGGGTTGGAGTACCGTCAGTTGACGGTGATACCGATGTACCAGCTTGTCGGACCTGTTCTCGCTCGATATCCACCGACGGGTCGCTCACTAAGACCTGATTGATCAATGTGCTCGACTCCTTGACCAAGGTCCCTTGGCCCGGGAACGTCTCCGCGGGGTTTTCCGAGCGCATGGGCGCTGAAGACGAAGCTGCCTCGCTGCGACTGTTCACCCCTCCTGCTCCTCCGCACTGGTCTTCGGACGTTCTCGGGACTGGTGGCCGGGACCGCGAGTCCTCTCTTCTCTTTTCGCGGTGGTTTGCGCTCCGCTCGTCACCTTTGCTCTTCCCGTGGCGCGACCCTGGGGCCCTCTCGCTTGAGCCGTGACTCCGCTGGGTTGATGATGTCCTTGGTGGTGGAACGGGCGGTGCACCGAGAAGGTCAGGGTATACGGTCGATCGGTGGTTGTTCTGTGCGGTCGCAGGCGCCACCGAGGTCAGGGCTGGGGATGCATGAGTGGTGTGTGGTAAGGACTGCGATTGGAGGTCGTTCATAGCCGAGAAACCTGTCGAGGCCAGGACAGAAGATAGCTGCTGATAACTTAGCGCACTGTTCATGATACCTCTGGATGTGTGATTTGACAGTCACGGCTGCTGCATCGACCCGGGATGGTAATTTGAATAATGACGTGACGCATAACTGAAGTGTAAGGTTGATACAAAACTCGGACGGGAATGTGAAGAAGTAATAGTGGTGGGGTGGACTGTTGTGAAATGAGGGACCGTTTGCATAGCAGGCGACATACCTCGTTTAATCAAGGCGCCGCAGTGCCTAAGGGGGATGCTGCGTTACGGTCCGAGACAGCTTCTCCGAGCGCGTCCACAGAGTTTTGAGTGATTACTTCACTTTGATTGACCAACCAATTGCGATCGGCGGTTGGAACTTGATATGTCAAAGCCCTCCAGAGGGTTGTGATTTTTTGTTTTCTTTCGTTTTCTTTTTCCTTTTTTTTTTTTTTTTTTTTAATTTAAAAAAAAATTGTCCGCTAGATTGGGTCCCAGCTGCTGGTCCGTTCGGTCGGGCACCTAAGCTATGGTTTTTGAGTTAGTTCAACGATGGTCGGAGCAACCGATAAGGGGTGTCAAGGGTGACGACTGACAACCGCCAGCGAAATAATTCAGAATGAAATCACAGGCAAAGGGCAATGCAAGTAATTGTTGGTATATCGAGGACACCGGGTCAATAAGTCCACCGGTTAACAGAAGCAATGAAAGCACGCGCGTAAGAGGACCAATCGTTTGATGATCTTCCAACGTTTTCCCTTTTCACCAAATTTTATAGAAATTCTTGTTTTTCTTACCCACAAAGCCAGACGAGTAGGGTATATCTGCACTGCAGATTTGCCTCTCGTAATTCGCCTCTCTCCACGACTATCTACTACCCAGTTGGGTAATATGGTTAAGGGTGGATTGCGGCTCGAAAGAATGTGAGAACTCCGGAGACGAGACCGACAAACGCGGGCGGAGAAGCAGCCTCGGGAGACGCGATTTCAACCACCAGAAGCCCACTTCTCGTTCCTACTTAGTCGAGATTGGCGCGAAAGTCTTCTTTCCACGGCGCTTCACCGGCTCAACACTGCTGGACGAATTGACAAGGCAGAGTGTAGGCTGCGACGAGAAGCATGATCGACTTGAAGGAAAAGAATTGAAGAAGAGGCAGGAGGGGTGGTCGTTGGTGGAGGTCGACACCTCTTGTGATCCGGAGAGCGGACAGGGGCGGCGCGAGGGGAGATGAAGAGCTCGGCGGGAAGTGAACCAAACCCCAAAAAAAGAACGGGTTGCGGGAGAGGATGGACCTCGAAAGGGTGAAATAATTGACACCCAAGGGAGGAGTGACAAAACCAGAAAAA